GATTGTTGTAAATAAATATTTCCCCCCTAACTTTTGATCTGGTACCTTACTAATCATTTCATAGCTCATGTCTTTAAGTAGTGTGTGTGTGTGTGTGTGTGTGTGTGTGTGTGTGTGTGTCCTAAATCTATACTATAGATGCCAATGTTCTGGATAACAATTAAAAGTTGTAATTACAGAGAAATTCTATTTTTTAAAACCTTTTGCATATAACTATATACTATGCATGTAACCTCAATGAGATCCAATTAGTTGCAAAGAATTTGCATTTCAGTTAGTGTGGGATAACAAGACTATAGGGAGGCACAATGCAATTCCACCAACAGAGTAAGAAAGTGTGTTCTTTCTTGTTAGCTCTGTAAGCAGTAATTCCCACAACTTACTATTTGAAATGTTACTGATATTTTCATATTAGGGTACTGAGATAGGTTTGGGTTTCTACCTCCATTAAAAAAAAGTCACATATTGGTTCAAATATCAGCCACAATGAATACCTGAAGAAACAAATGACCAAAGGATTTTGTTTTGCATGTATGTTTGTGGGTTTTATTTTTGTTTTAGGTGGAGTGGAGATACTGCATACTTTTTCTTAATACTTATTAATAATTTCTTTAAAAACACATTTTTTAAAAATAAATTCATAACTGAGGGTAGGGAAAACTCACTGAGATAATCATGTAAATCTAAGGTTTGGTGATAAAGGCATGCATTTAGTACATTGAGAAAGTACCCAAGGATTTTCATTTTTTTCTAGCTGTTTCCATCAATGTAAATCGTAAGCAAATATAAAATAAATGTATAATTTATATACACAGTTTAACAAGCATCTCTAGGACTTCTGGTTCACAGAACAATACCTGTAATTCCCTGGGTTCAGTTCAGCAGCTGTTAACAGATTCTGTAATCTGCAATGACAGTAAACTGGCCTTTGCTCTTCTTTTATTCACTATTCATTTTCAAGGCTTGGTTAAGTACAGAGCTGGGTTAAAGATCAGTGGTTTTTCATGTGACACACGCTGGTATTCATCTAATGGCTTGTCAAGACAAAACTGTCCCTGTTCTTGCCAAAATAATAAAAATGACGCTCCATATCGCATGACAATCAGCACTTCCTAATGCCAAAACAAATCAAGCTTTTGTAATTCACTTATTTTATAGAAAAAATAATAATAATTTGCTCCCTGATCCTGTATGTAGAATTAGGTTTCCGTTCTCAGAGATTTTAAAAAATATTTTAACACTAAAGCAACACGTAAGCTAGTTTATAATCAATTTAGAATTTACTGTGTAAAAATAATGCTGAAGCTACAAATTCATATGGCATCTTAAGGTATAAAACTTAATATATGCGAATTATGCAGAAGCAGCAGGCTAGGCCCAGTCACAGAGGTGGGGGAAACCAGTTGAGGAAATGTCATTTTTTTTTTAGAACAAAGTATGGGACTTGCTTTGCAACATCTGTTGGGCTGTGTGAAATGTTAACAGACATCTTAAGTGAAAAAGGGAAAACGAATTAATAAAGAAAACATCCTATGAACAGATAATCTGCCCAAATTTCCATATTCCAGAGGAAAAAAGTTGACAGCAACCTTTTTCCCGTGTGAAACTTGCCATCCCTATTTTATTGTATAAAGTTTTGTTTTCTATGTGAAGTTAAGGGTGAAATGTTTATGACTCAGTATAAAGAAGAGAATAAAGAAAAAGTAAAATAATTTTAACTGAGATTTTGTTTTCCTTTGTAAATAATTATATCATAATCTAAGCTGCCTGTTTTCCCTTGAGTCACATATGTAATTTTATGGGAGGACAGTGAAAAGTCCACCCCTCAAAAAACCTTCAAAAACATGAACTATTATTCTACTGTGCCTGCATGTTTTGGGGGAAAGGAAGGGGACACATTAAAAAGCTCTTAAGCTCTTAAGATAGAGTTCTGATATTAACACATCCCTACACTCTAAGGTGTTCGTGTTCACAATTAGGATTCAGCTATCATTTACACCTAAATCCTTGCACTCTCCACTGGCTCCTAATTTTATTCCCTTCCCACCCTTGTAAGGGATAAAGCACCCCTCTTTCAAGAGCCAAGGGTTCCAAAGCGGTAAAGTCTAATGATCATAAAGAAAATTTTGAGATTATACTAGTTAGATCCCTGTATTTAAATTTTAAGAAAACTGGAAAACTTTTCTTAGTTAACAATTCTCATTCATGTTTCAATTTATTAGATGATCTAGGCAAACCTGAAGGCAGCTGCCTTTAATCCAGGTTGATACATGTATGCCTACTACTGAATCTAACCTGGTGCTTGCTTGTGTGTGAGTGAGGTGAACTATGAACCTGTATTATTCGATGAATCTTCCTCTCTGGAGACACCTATTCCATCACTTATTCTCTAAAACATAGGACATAAACGTGGGTTAAGAGCTCATAGATTAACTAATTCAAAATGCAATTAAGGACCTTGACAGATTCAGATGAGGGAAGGAAAAAGTGTGTTGTCCTCTCTGATTGCCAGTCCCTACCACTAGCCCCTCTCTATGAGAGTAAGTCTCTATTAAAATTGTACATAATACTGCATGTCTACAGCTATACCTTATCCAGATGACTCTGGCAGCCTGGGCTGGGGGCATTTCAACATACAGAAACCTCAGCTAGAATAGCCTGAAGATTTCAGGGGACAAGATCATGGTCCAAGTTGTAAAACAAGGCATGCAAGCATACCTTCGGTTTTGGGTTAGTTTGTTTTTTGCCAAAGCATTGTGGGTACTAAATGCTCTGGTGTTTACTCACAGGAATACCACATTAGAACACATGACAAAAAATAATAAAAATAACTGCTGTACCAAGAAAAATTGATCACCTACACTGAGGGAGAAAGCTTGTACACTTAAAACATCATTATGTGACCTCAGACTAAGAGAGGAAAACAGGTCTCCTAAAATAAGGTTTGAATAGGAAACACGTTTAAATCACTTTAAACAGCAACACAAACATCCCCCCCATCCCTAAGCAAATACTACTTAAAAGCTTCATCCTTCATCTTTCTATAACAAAAGAAAGAAACCACTCTGGTTGACATCTGTCTGTGAACCAACTAGAACAATCAATGTGATACGGCATCTGCTGACATCCTAAACAGGGGCTCAGTTTCAGAGAAACATATCAAGGATTTATCTAAATGCCATAATCCCTTGATACACTATGAAAATTAAAAATAAATAAATAAAAAGATTTGGGTAGGGTGTGGTAGATGAGGTAGTTTATACAATGCTAAGGAAATGATGAATCCTTAGAATCAAGCTATTTGCAGATGCAAAAGCATCTGATGTCAGCATGAATCTTGAGCCTCCAAAAGATCAAACATTTTATCTACCCTGTTTTGGTTTTAAAAAAAGTGATTTTATTCATCTTCTCTCAGGTACAACCAGTGACAATGGCTTCTTCCTACCAAAACCTAAAGTCAGTGTTTTATGAGAAAATCTTCTAGAAGAAAAGAACCAGTGATGTGTTTCTTTCCTTAAATGAGTAAACTGATTTAAAGCCTTCACGATATGCAGATTAGTGTTTGATTGATAATTGAGAAAACAGACTATGGGAAATTTCATGCGACTGAATAAAATAAAATAAAATAAAATAAATAAAATAAACAGGCTGGGAGAATAAATGGGGAATTACTTTTGTATGCCCATGAAGAACTGCAAGGATTATAAAGATAGTATTAATTTCTTTATTTACTTCCTTCTAAAGTCTGTGGACCGAGAAGTTTGCAGCCACAGTGAAAATGACATAATAATAGTTTAAATTACTGTCAGGAATGAAGAGTGAGATTCGCGGACACCCAGGAAATCCAACACTGCTTTTAGAGTTATCACAGAAAAAGGCAGCTCTATTGATGGCACCCCCTTATATGACTCTTACAAACCTAAAAAACAAATTTAAAAAGTGAAATACCCATACACTTCAAGTTTCAGAATGTTTGGAAAATCACAGACTATTTTATATATATACATATTTAAATGGAAAAAAATGTTGAAACAAAGCAAATTTAAATGGAGAGTATTTTCAAAATTAAGAATCCTAGAAGATGCCAGAAATTAACAGCAGGTTAAAAATAAAAAGAATTAACAGGTGGCTTAGGTCTGAATGGTGATGACTTTTGGTGGGGAATAGTGGCTTCAAGAGGCACAAAGAAAGCTTCTGAGGTCCAGGTAATGTTCTGCATCTCCATCTACTTAGTGGTTTTGTGTATGGTCACTGTAAAAACTCATCAAGCTGTATACACTTATGATTTGGGTGCACTTTTCTGTATGCATGTTATACTTCAGTTCTAAAAGCTTACAACTGCTATTGTTATGGCACTACTACTAAAAACAGTGATAACAATAAATTAGAACTATATTTAGAAAAGAAAAAGGAAAAAATAAATAACAGGGTGGGAGAGAAGAGGGAAGGGATGGAAGAAGGCAGATACTTTATCATTGTCAAAAATCGTGCAAATAACTGTCAATAAGTTTACTGCTGGCAATGGTTTCTTCAAAGGTAAGAACTGTCAGGACTCAAGCAAATATCTGAGTGTCACAGAATGAGGATTAATGTAAAAGTAGTAAAAGGGTGGAAGAAAATAATTAGGGGAAAGATACCTTAACTAGCAGTGCAAGGGCGTGAGTGCATCCAAGTGGCTTAAATAGAAAAGAAAAACATACCTCAACTTGAGAAGTATCAACCGCACAACATAGGGTCTTGAAACATGCTCACCAGACTCACTCAGCCTGTCCTCTGATTTACAATTATGGCTGTCTGGGGGTGAGTAATTTGGGGTAGGCACTGAGTGAGCCTACTGAGAGACTGGGGAGGAAATTGCAGACTATTACTTAAAGGCACTGAGTACACCAAGATAGATTTAAAAAAAAAAAAAGCAATTGCAAATATAATATATTCTTCTGACCACCCAAACCCCTATCCAAACCTTTTTTAAGAATTAAATGTCTAAGGCTGAAGGTAGC